TTTTTTTTTTTCATTTGTGTGGTCTGACTGTCTTGGGCCTGGTTTCACAGACATGGCTTAGACTAAGCCAGGATTAGGCCATAGTTCAATTAGGACATCTAAGTCATTTTTATTAACATGCCTTAGAAAAACCATTACTGGCGTGCATCTTGAGATAAAACAAAGGCACCGATATATTTTAACATCAGTCAGTGCAAGTTTCTTTCAGTTGAAACAGCTCAGTTAATACTAATATATAATAAATATAATAATCTCAGAAAGATGCAACATTGCAGAAAGATTTACTGGTATTTAGGTATCTTGTACAACCCCAAATCAGAAAAAGTTGGGATATTTTGTAAAATGCAATGAAATCAAGAATCTGTGTGTAATTCTCTTTAACTTTTATTCAATTGACAAAAGCACAAAGAAAAGATTTCCAAAGTTTTCACTGATCAACTTAAATGTATTTTTTAAATATAAACCAATTTTGATTTTGATGGCTGCAACACACTCCAAAAAAAAAAGTTGGGACAGGTAAAAAAAAAAAAAAGGGAAAAGGTTATAGAATATCCCAATTAAACGGTTTTAAAATAGTCCAAAATAAGCAGGTGAATTGGTAATAGGTGAGGCTATGATGTTTGGGGTTATGGGGGGTATGGGGGTGCAGCAGAGCAAACGGTATGGGTGACTGGCATATGTACCAAGGTACCATTGACATGGAGGCATATATTGGGATTGTACAGAGACATACTGCCATCAAGATGACGTCTTTCATGGCAAGTCATATATGGTTACCCAGCGGGCACCTTGATATCAATTTGACGTCAAATATTAGTCCAGACATGATCAAAATGCTGTAAGAATTTTAAATTCAGTTTAGATGGCAATGTCTTCCAGTTGTAATTGGGTGATAGGAATATAGGAAGTTAATCCCACACTGGCCAAAATGTTTGACGTTCAATTTACATCAAATCAACATCATGTCAAGTTTTGAATTCACTTTGATTTGCATATTTGACCTGTTTTTTGACGTCAATTTTGATGCCAATTTGATGTCTTTTCAACATCAATCGCCACAGGGTATTAGATCAAGACAATGCAGGTCTCATTCTGCATGTGCTACAACAGCGTGGTTTTGTAGACAGAGAGAGGATGTGCTTGACTGGCCTGCCTCCTATTGAAAATACATGGCCCATCATGAAAAAAAGAATCAGACAATGACAACCATGGACTGTTGAACAGATGAAGTCTTGTATCAAGCAAGCAAAAAATGTAACAATTAGAATCCTCAATTCCCAAGCTATTAAATATTGTAATTAAAAGGAAAGTTGATGTGACACAGACAGTGTTAAACATGCCTCTGTCCCAACTTTTCTGGAGTGTGTTGCAGCCATCAAAATCAACATTTGTTTATATTTACAAAATACTATTAATTTGGTCAGTGAAAACATTGGAAATCTTTTCGTTGTACTTTTGTCAATTAAATAAGGTTAAAGAAAATTAACTAATCACAGATTCTTGATTTTATTGCAATTTACAAAGCGTCCCAACTTTTTCTGATTTAGGGTTGTGCAAATAATAATATCAGTGACTTACCTGTGCCAAGTGTCCTGGCTTTTGGCCAACTGGAGTCAATGATTAGCCTGTTCTAGCACTAATTTACAGAGGTACAGCTAAATTAGTACAATACAACATTTTATGAGAAAATCAACAATGGAATCATTTGTATTTGTGCTTCAGAGGACAGACACTTGAAATGTTGAATCGATTCTAGAACTCTATACAAAATTGCCATGCACTGCCTTTCCCCTCATAAACATATTCTGACTACATCTTAAAGAGGTCATATGATGCGATTTCAATTTTTCCTTTCTCTTTGGAGTGTTACAAGCTCTTGGTGCATAAAGAAGATCTGTAAAGTTGCAAAGACTAAAGTCTCAAATCCAAAGAGATATTCTTTATAAAAGTTAAGAGTCAACCACGCCTACCTAAAACGGCTCGTTCTAACACACCCCACATGTCTACGTCACGATGTGAGAAGATTTGCATAACGCCGCCCAAACGTTCACGCAAAGAAAGAAGGCGTAACTTAAAAATATTTGGCTGCACAACTGTTGATAATTCTAATAATAAATCAGCATATTAGAATGATTTGTGTGTGTGTGTGTGAGGGGAACAGGGTCACATCACAGGAGAGTGAACTGCCTGTCAGAAATCATAGCACGTCAGCTGTCTTAACCGCGGCTTGTGTACTGCATCATCACTGTGTCTGTCACGCGACTCTGTTGCCCTTTCGGGCTTGAACTGATGGTAAAACTAAAGACATTATTAACTGTCTTGATATTTACTTTGAAAGCTGAAGCGATTATGGTAAGGGGCATTAGTTACATTTCCGACGCGTGTTTGCGGTGTTCGGCCAATCATGATGCACTGGGTCAGCTGGCCAATCAGAGCAGACTGCGCTTGTCAGAAGGAGGTACTTTGTAGAAAACGAAGCGTTTGAGAGAGGCGGGGCATAGAGGACCTACAATAATGTACAGTATTTGAAAAATAATGTGTTTTTTGAACATTAAAGCATGTCAACATATTCTGTTATACCAAATACACAAAATAATGATCTTTAAAATAGCATCATATGACCCCTTTAATGGTGTCAGCAGCCATTTTGAAGTAGATTTTTGGATGTTGTGAACTGGCCAGGCATTTCATGGTTGTAAAAAAAAAAGGAACGGCTCTGTGGAAAAGGTGAGCGAGGCTAGTAAGGCTGCAGACTTCTGTGTATTAAATGGTATTTTGCAGTATTTATTTTCTTTCAGTTAGAAAGAAAAAAGACAAAAATGTCTGAATTATTGGCAAATCTGAATTTAATGAACATAAACAGATATATAAGCTACTATTTCCATAACTTGTAAAAAGCCAAAAAGCTTGATCTGTTCGCAAAAGAAGGAAAAAGTAAAAACATACTACAGAAAATATTTGGCCTCCTTGTTGCCGTGGCATTATTTACACTATATACAGTATTTTCATATATGACAGTACAGTCATATTTGCCATTAAATCCTTATCGATAAGGCACCAAATGCTAAGTAGCATGATCCTTTTTTCTTTTTACCAAATTGTGCAGAAAATGTACAAAACTATACAAACAGACCTATCACATATGAACATCGTCCATCTCAATGAAAAAAAAAAACATAAAAATAAGTTGCCGTTAGATGTTTTGAAAGTTATAGTTATGATTGTACATGCATGTAAGAACTAAACCCCAACTTAATCCTTTAAAGATATTTAAACAATATTTATTAACTGATTAGTTTAGCAACAGGAACAGATATATATGCTGAGATAGACATAACTGTACTTACACAAAGAAAAAACGTGTGCAGACATTATCTGTATTTGGAACTACCCAGATGTCCCCATGCTTGTGCAGGTCTGGAGATGTAATAACTGTTACATATATATAAAAAGAAGTGATTATTAACATGACAAAGATTACAGATGATAATATAAATGTGTGTTAAATGTGTACCTTCACATAAGGCTATGCATTTAAGGTTGCGGCTCTGCAGAAACTGGGGGTTCTGGCCTTTCTTCTGTGACTGAAAGCAAAAAAAAACCAGAAAAATGTGGATCATATTTCAGGGTTCAGGATGCCAAGCATTTTTTTTTTTTTAAGAAAGATAATAATGACTGTCAATTGATTGGGGGAAGAAAATAGTAGTACTAAAAAAAGTACCTGCAAATTAATATTGGACTTGTTGGCAGCGGTTTCATCTTTTGAAGCAACTTTCTGCTGTTTTTTATTCATCCCTTTGGGGGGAAAAGACACAGTTATGTCAAGCAATTATACATTTATTGCATATATTTATGTAGAAAGTAGAGGAGTTTTGCTCCTAAAGGTTTTAAGACCTGAGTAGCCAAAGGATATGCTTGATAATGGACTGAGATAGATTCCACTCCCATAGATAGCGCCATGGAGCTGCAGTCTGCTCAGATGTTTAAGAGGTTTACATAATGCATTATGCACACACACACACACACATATACATATACACACATACATACATACATATATATACATACACACACACTATTATATCTTACTACATCTATTTCCACTATATTAAAAAAAATCAGCTTCATCTACACTTCATCCCAGCTTAATTACATTAAAGGGGTCATATGATGCGATTTCATTTTTTCCTTTCTCTTTAGAGTGTTACAAGCTCTTGGTGTACATACATACATATATATACATACACACACTATTATATCTTACTACATCTATTTCCACTATATTAAAAAAAATCTGCTTCATCTACACTTCATCCCAGCTTAATTACATTAAAAACATCTTTCCCTTCAACCCTTTTTATGATAGGTCTCTTTAAAGAATCAGATACCGTGGGTAAAGCATCTGCATTATAATTAGATGTAAGTACCTGAAGCCTCGTGTTTGATGCCACGACTAAACCATTCCTCAAAATGGAGTGCCAGTTTTCTATGTGTGATCCACTGAAAGCGAGAGGGAGAAAGAGCCAGTCAGTTTGTCTTTTTAAAACTGGAAAATCAACAGCCAGTGTTCTCAAGTCAGCAAGAAACCTCATGCCTGTACAGCTGTGGCTTTAATTAGATCTGTGCAAAAGACAGATTTGAATTCTATGACTCCTTCAAGATATAGTTTGCTGCACAGCTGAATAACAACTGAACTAGTTAAGACAGCTAAAACTGATTTCCTTTTATTGTGACAATGAAATGCACTTCCAAATTTAAAATATTTATTATTAGTGGACATAATCACAATGCCATGAAGCATTTAAAGAAAGAAATTATTGCTTTTCTGTTATGTCTTGCAGTCCAAACCAGGCTTGTGGCATCTACAACATTTGTTCAGCACACCCACAGACTATTCACAGACTGCACACATTCACACTGCACACAAAACTGCCAAGCGCTTGCCAAAAAATTATAAGCTCCAGCCGGACAGATATTGTAATATACTTAGGGACCAGATAAAACACATTTTCCTTAAGCCTTGTTGTACCCTAATCATGAATTTATGAATTTGTAATGATGTGGGTCAGATTTGCAGTTTCTAAGGTAAATGCTGTATTGGCTGTTTAAAATGGAACTCACTGGAAAGCAAAGGTACTCCCAAAGAGGCCTTTGGCAGCTCTGAGGTTGGATTCTTTGGCTGGTGGACTGCTGAGCAGGAGGAACTGATGGGATGTGTGCATGAACTTCAGTTGCTGTTGTGAGAAAAACAAGATGAAAGAGCATACACTTGAGATGTTAAGCCTTAATCATTTTACCTTAATCATGAGACATTGAAGACTTCCTGTGAATTTAAAACTGTCTTTAGGAATACAGAAGAACTGAAAGATGGTTTCTAAAGGAGTCATGATTCTCTCTTAGTGGGGTAATGCCAGTTAAGCCGCTTTTCCACTGCGTGGTATGGCTCGGCTCGCTTTACTTTGGCTCGGTATGCTTTTCCACTGCAGTGTAGTACCGCTTCACAGCGGGGACGATTATAGACTGATCGTTATAGTTGCGCCGCCACCTCGTCTACTGACCACGATACAGCCATTTATTTTCTCAAGTTGCGTGTGACGGTCATTTAAAGCAAGTAGTTTAAAAAAAGTCTTCCAAACAAATGATACTGTGGTGGTCTAGCGGGTTTGGTGTCTTGTGTTGCAAATCCAATGACCCTGGAAGTGACGATTCTCTCTGACCAATTAGTGACCTGCAGTGTTTACATGTCACATTTTAGTGTCGGTACGGCTCGCTTGGAACATCAACCGAGGTGGCACTAAAAAAGCACCAGGTACTAGGTACAGTACACAGTGAAAAAAACAAACAAAAGTGAGCCATGGCATGCAGTGGAAAAGAGCCATTAGTCTAACGGTGCGTTTCCACTGGCACGTATCGAGCGCAGCGGAGCGAGCATTTTCAATTCATTCCTATGGAAGTTGAGTTTAAACGCTCGCGCGGGTGTATTATGGGATTGAAAGCGGCGCGGAGAAGTGTCAAAAAGATTGGGCATTCCTCGACTTTATGCAAACGTCGACAACCAATCGCTGTGAAAGGAAGAAGATGAAACGTAAACAGGGTGTTTTTCAGAGGCGTGCTCTGCCCTAAATTTGACACGCCCCAAAGCAGTGGCGTTGTAGCGTTGCCAGCGGCACTGAGCGCAGATTTGCCGCTGTAGTGGAAACGCAGCGTAACCCTGATCATCTTAATCTAGAACTAGAATGTTCACATTCTTGTGGCATTTGATAGCAGAAATTTTAAGGGAAATCATTACAAATGCTTAATAAGACAGATACAAGACTTACTCTAGTAACAGGAAGCTTCACTATGTGTGATCTGTTACTGGAAATCACCCTGTTAAGAAAATGGATTTATCAGCCATGTTATATACCCCATTAGGTTTGAAACCCTCTACTGCAGGAATGCAGACGTATTTAAATATATGAGTAATTGTTCATCACATGATCATACTGACTGTCCTAGGTAGTACAAAGATGGATGTACACACACACACTCCATGACTATGTAATCAGAGCTGTTACGAGAGCTGACCATCACATTTACACATCATTAAAATGCAGGAGTGGAGTAGAAAATGACTGAAGTGTCATTCTGTCATACCACTGCAGCAGTGGATGAGCCAGGGGATCATGCTTGTCCATTTGTTTCTTTATCTCCAGGTATGGAGCCTGTGCAGAAGAAATGTCAACGGTCAACATGGTATTACATTTTGGCAAGTTTATTTTAATTGACTGATGGCCTTAAAAACAATAACAATCACAGAAAAAAAACATGCTTTTGTTGTAAAATTCAACTTAATACCTGGGTCATTTCTCTGATAGATGCGATACTGTCAAGTGCTCTCATCACTCGGTCATAGTCCTTTTTCTGAAGAAGAACTCAAACAATCAATGTAATATTCCTTTCTGAATAGCAGGATTACACTAAAGCACTGGTTCTCAAACCTGTCCTCAGTGTATAGTGCATCATTTGGGACGCAGCTCTGGAGTACCCCCAGCCCTGCACATTTTGTATGTCTCCCTCATCCATCACACCTGATTCAACTCATCAGCTCATTAGTGGAGACTGCAAGACCTGAAGTGGGTGTGTCAGATATTGGGAAACATACAAAATGTGCAGTGCTGGGGGTACTTCATGGAGAGGTTTGAAAACCACTGCACTAAAGAGACAGGTTAAGCTAAAGCTAATTGCTATTAGTGTTTTAAGTACCCTGGGGTTGAAGGCAAGTGCTTGTGAGTCATTGGGATCCACCACAGAGGGATATGGCTCAAAAATGACAACTTTCCTTGGAGACTCCAGCGCAGATCGGCACATGGAGACCAGTAGGTCTACTACCTGTAGTCACAAACCGAAATTGTTAAAGCATTTGGTTAGAAACACGGTATCTTCTGTGCAGAATGACTGTATGAGTGCTTACAGTTGCGTATGTCTATTTTGTTTGTTTGTGTACCTAACTTAATACCTGGGTCATTTCTCTGATAGATGCGATACTGTCAAGTGCTCTCATCACTCGGTCATAGTCCTTTTTCTGAAGAAGAACTCAAACAATCAATGTAATATTCCTTTCTGAATAGCAGGATTACACTAAAGCACTGGTTCTCAAACCTGTCCTGAGGTGCGTCCCAAATCGCGTACTTATGCACTATTCTATGATGTTTTGTAGTATAAATAGTCCACACCTGATTCAACTCATCAGCTCATTAGTGGAGACTGCAAGACCTGAAGTGGGTGTGTCAGATATTGGGAAACATACAAAATGTGCAGTGCTGGGGGTACTTCATGGAGAGGTTTGAAAACCACTGCACTAAAGAGACAGGTTAAGCTAAAGCTAATTGCTATTAGTGTTTTAAGTACCCTGGGGTTGAAGGCAAGTGCTTGTGAGTCATTGGGATCCACCACAGAGGGATATGGCTCAAAAATGACAACTTTCCTTGGAGACTCCAGCGCAGATCGGCACATGGAGACCAGTAGGTCTACTACCTGTAGTCACAAACCGAAATTGTTAAAGCATTTGGTTAGAAACACGGTATCTTCTGTGCAGAATGACTGTATGAGTGCTTACAGTTGCGTATGTCTATTTTGTTTGTTTGTGTACCTGAGCACCAGTGGCAATCTCATCAGCAGCCTCATTCATGACCCCTAACGTTTGGAAGGCGAATACACATAACTCTCTCTCACACACTGTGGGCTGCAGGACACATTATAAACAAGATCATTAGAAGTGAAATGTTATTATTAATCCAGAATTAATCTAATCACATATAACATGAATTGGCTCACTTTTAATGATTTTAATGAAATATTATGCATAACTATTTTCTGAAGAATAATATGGCAGAATAATATGGAAAAAGAAAATGGTCTTTGTGACATCAAAACTTAAGATATGAAGTTAATTTCTAAATATTTTGATGTTAAATTAAAAAATATAATAAAACTTGTATTCATTAAGAATGCATTCAATTGATCAAAAGTGACAGTAAAGTCATTTATTACATTACGCAATATTTCTATTTGAAATAAATGTTTTTTACTGTCTCAACAATGTTCTTTTAAAAACATTAGAAAATCTTACTAAACCCAAAATTTTGAATGGTAGTCTACGGTATACTTTAAAATACATGCGATCACAGGTGTCTTCAATAATTCATTCCAAAGTATTCACACCATTTACCAATCCAAGATTGCTAGTAGAGCAAACAGACTTACTCTGAGCATTGGTCCATTTTGGAACACGTGAGGTTCATCGCAGACCACACAGAACTCGTTCAGTACAGGGATACGCTGTTCTGCATACTCCATAGTCTGCAATTACACATCAGGTCAACACATATGCAACTGTTCAGTAACATTTCACCCCTCTGTAACAGTAATATAGCATCAGCAGCTGCCAGAAGAGCTCCACCAAAACCCTAATACAAATTAAAAGGACAGTTCACTAAAAACGAAAATATTTTCATCATGTTTGAAACATCTGGAATGACTTGATGGTGAGTAAACAACGTTAGAATTTTTCCTGAAATATTTTATGTAACTTTGGTCACAAGAATACTAATGACTGGAGAATGTCAACTACTGCAACCAATCACATGCCCTGTTTGCTTCAGGAAAGGATTTTGCATGTATTTGCAAGTGAAAGAGTTGTATTATTCCAACCCCAAATACTGTTTGATTAATGAATTTAGGCAAAGGGGGAAATGTAGATTTTTATTTTTTTTACCTGAACAAGGAAGCCTCTGTCTCTGATTGGAATGGATTTGGCGCCGATGTTTGGCTACTCGAGAAAACAGAAAAAAAGTTTGAACTCCCTTTAAATTCCAAACCAAATTTGCAAACCAAACACACAAAGTTGTTTTCAATGCCTGAAGCCAAAATTTACACTAGTGGGACAAAATGTTTTAACTACAGAATTTATCTCTCTGCAAGAACAATTTTTAAATAAATCCCCCTGTCCTCAACCTGTTAAACTCTCTCATCTCTGCCTAGTAGGAGCAATTAATTGTGAAATTGCTTACTCTTATTTTTGCAGTAAATAAATTCTGTTAAATAATGCTTTCATATCCAAAACTCTCTGGTGTATGCAAATTTCCAAGGATGTTATACTTTTCTTATTTTCCATAATCATTTATACATTATATTCATTACGAGTTATTCTTTATGGTTCTTTTTGTTGTTACTCTTCATTATATTCATATTACTGTTTTATGTTAGGTATATATTCAGTATTATTCATTTATTCTTTTTTCATATTCCATTTATAATCATATTCTGTAGACGTAGGATATATTTTCTGGTCTGACATATAAAAGGTACATTTTGTTATGGTAAAAGGATGTTTTTGGTAAGATGTTGAGCGCCTTTTTTAAATATTTTTATATGAAGAATGTTCTCTGAATTTGCTTTCTGTGGTACTAAATGTTCTTTCCAAGAGCTGGTATTTGCAAGATGATATTTGAAGATTGCTTAACTCTGCTGTTTCTGCTCGAAGGGTGTAAAATCACAACACATAGCTCTATTTTTATCTGACCTACTGCATTTTAACAGGTCATGTCAATGTGACCTAGTCCTGAACTTAATTCAACTTAGGTGGGGGAAATATTTGACAATACGTAGATAATGACACAATGGATAAATTCCTTTGACATTTATGAGTCAGACATAAACATCTGGTGATATTGTAAGAGGATGTAAGTTCTCCTGTGTGTGTATATATATAGCACATGCTGCAAAGGCCTTTGTCTCTTTTCTTCTACAAGGATTATTATACTCAGATGCTTAGATACTCAGATTACTCTTTTAGAAATTTTAGTAGAATATACTCTATTTGAATGTCGTGTTCTTTTAATCTTTTTCTTTCATTTAAATTTTTTCATTATTACCATCTTCTGTTATTGTTATCATTTATGATTTTATATTCAAATAAAATACAAATTTATTGAAAGACTTCATCTGCCTGGATCTCACTGCACCACACTCGATCAGGTGTCACTGACCAAAGCCAAACCAAACAGCCAATCAAATTAGGCAAATCCTAATTTATTATGTAATCTCAAGGAAGTATTTGCATACAACGCAATCCCAACGCAATCCTTACCTGAGGTGTGGAAGAGAGTGATGGGGCCAGGATGCCAATTAGCCCTGAGGTAAGGGAGAGGCGTCTGCTCTCAGTGACAGGCTCTTTAAAGATGTCACTTTTGCCCATCTTGGTGCTGCTGGAGTAGGACCTGCTGAGCAGACGATGGTGGTGCTTCAGGCCATCCAGCTCTTCAGTCCGCACACTGCCTGAGCAGGAGCGGCCCAGGAGCCGGTGGGGCTTCAAAGCATCGCCATCGCTACTGCCAGCAGCGTGTTCGCAGCGAGGCTCTGCCATGCTCGACCGCGGCGACAGTTTATGAGGCCGCAGCGGCGGGCAGTCCTCCGGTTTAACAGCGGTCGAGCAGGGCCTCGACAGCAGCCGGTGGGGTTGCTTGAGGGGCTGATGTTGCTCCATCCGCGGGTCGCTGGAGAGAGAGTGGCCCAGAAGCTTGTGCGACTTGCTGACACAGCCGTCCATTTCTGGCTTCACCGTGCTTGAGCATGTTCGCCGTAACAGACGGTGGGACTTTGACACGCCATCCTGCTCAGGTTTGAGCTTCTTTTTGCTCTTCACACAGCCAGGAGGAGGGTAGCTGGGGGATCTGAGTTTGCACAAGCACAGCACATTAATCAAACAACGTGAATTAAGGAACACAGAAAGATGTTGTGCAATTACGCTTGTGCAAATTCTGCACATTTCAGAATGCTTCATTGGCTGATTTACACCATTTCATTTTTCATGTTGAGGTCTGCATAGTTCGCAGTGGAAATGCGTGTTTTTTGCACTAATGAATTACAGTAGGTTGTG